GTTGTCCAAAATACAACCATTGACACCTTGCACAAGGAGGGCAAGACACAAAAGGTCATTACTAAAGAGGCTGGCTGTTCATAGAGCTCTGTGTCCAAGCACATTAATAGAGAGGCAAAGGGAAGGAAAAGATGTGGTAGAAAAATGTGTACAAGCAATACAGATAACCACACCCTGGAGAGTATTGTGAAACAAAACCCATTCCTTGACACTGGACCTCAAGCAACGTGGATTTGGTGCCTCTCCTCTCTTCCTCCAGACTCTGGGACCGTGATTTCCAAAGGAAATGTAAAATTTACTTTCATCAGAAAACATAACTTTGGACCACTCAGCAGCAGTCCAGTCCTTTTTGCCTTTAGCCCAGGTGAGACCTTTCTGTTGCTGTCTCTTGTTCAAGAGTGACTTGACACAAGGAATGCGACAGCCGAAACCCACGTCTTTCATACGTCTGTACGTGGTGGTTCTTGAAGCACTGACTCCAGCTGCTGTTCACTCTTTGTGAATCTCCCCCACATTTTGGAATGGGGTTTGTTTCACAATCCTCTCCAGGGTGCAGTTATCCCTATTGCTTGTACACTTTTTTTCTACCACATCTTTTCCTTCCCTTCGCCTCTCTATTAATGTGCTTGGACACAGAGCTCTATGAACAGCCAGCCTCTTTAGCAATAACCTTTTGTGTCTTGCCCTCCTTGTGCAAGGTGTCAATGGTTGTATTTTGGACAACTGTCAAGTCAGCAGTTTTCCCCATGATTGTGTAGCTACAGAACTAGACTGAGACAATTTAAAGGACTTTGCAGGTGTTTTGAGTTAATTAGCTGATTAGACTGTGGTACCAGGTGTCTTCAATATTGAACATTTTCACAATATTCTAATTTTCTGAGATACTGATTTGGGGTTTTCATTAGTTGTCAGTTATAATCATAAACATTAAAACAAATAAACATTTGAAATATATGTGTGTAATGAATGTATATAATATACAAGTTTCACTTTTTGAATGGAATTACTGAAATAAATCAACGTTTTCATGATATTCTAACTTTCTGACCAGCGCATAAATGCATCCATCCATCCACACATACATACATACATCCATCCATCCACACATACATACATACATACATACATACATACATACATACATACATGTATGCATGCATAGATGTATCTATGTATGGATGTAATGTATGTATGGATGGATGGTTAATTTTCAATTACAGTTTCAGTGAATTTGTACTTAATGTTTGCACATATCAGCGAAAGCAGTTTTAAACTGTTCAGACATCTGTAAAAAAGATTATATTGATCCTATTAATGTAGATCTGTATTTGATTATCAGAATGTGGAGGATGGCGGGCCAGCAAACAAAGCGGGACTCGAAGCTGGAGACCTGATTACTCACGTGAACGGAGAACCGGTTCATGGTCTGGTTCACACTGAAGTGGTGGAGCTCCTGCTAAAGGTAACTAATTAAATGATCTTCATCTTAAAACCACATCTCTTTGAATTTAACACTGCTTTGGTTGTGTTTGACTATTTAATTCCTCATAATCTAGTTCAGGACCAAATTCCAATGCAATTAAAATAAATTATCTAGTTGAGCTGCATCTAAGATGTTTGTGCAGAGAAGTATGTTCAAAATTCAAATTCAGTTCAGTTTATTTATACAGCACCAAGTCACAACAGAAGTCATCTCAGGGTACTGAACAGAAACATTCATATACCCAAAAAAGCTAATTAGCAAAAGTTCTCTATCTAAGGAAGCAGCAGATTGTGTTGAATCTTCTCTTCGTCACAGTCTCCCAACCAGAACAAGCACAAAGGCAACAGTGGAAAGGAAAAACTCCCTTTTAACAGGAAGAAACCTCCAGCAGAACCAGTCTCAGGACAAGCAGCCACCTGCTTCGACTGGCTGGGTTTGAGAGGACAGGAAGGAGAAACAAACCTCGAATGGCAGGTCCAGGTGCAGGTGTACCCCTATTGGAAGAAAGACAAAAAACATGTTAAGGATAGAAATAATTACAAATACAAAATAGGTAGAAATACAAAATGGGTAGAGTAGAGCAAGTAAAGGCAGCAGCAGAGTGATGAAATGTGGTCAGTTTGTCCTCCAGTAGTCTAAGCCTATAGCAGTGTGTGTAACTAAAGGATAGCTCAGGAAACCCAAGCTGACACCAACTATAGGATTTATCAAAAAGGAAAGACTTAAGCCTCTTAAAAGGAGACAATGTGTCAGCCTCATGGACAGAAACTGGAAGTTGGTTCCACAAGAGAGGAGCCTGATAACTGAAAGATCTTCCTCCCATTCTTCTTTTGGCTAAGGCTAAATACAATGAGACTGTTTTTCACGTCAGCAGTAATGACACCCAGTTATGTTAATCAGAGATCACTAACATTAATGTTGCTTCAGTGTGTAACGTTGCAAAATCTTTGTCGGACTCTGTATTTTCTCTGGTCCCCACCTAACCAGCGACGGCATGTTTAGTTGTATGCCGTCGTTCAACTGCTGGCTGTCCAGGTGGTGTCCTAAAAATATATAATAATGTGCCAAATATTTTAAGAAAACTAAACAAAAAAACTGCTAATAAGTCACCATAGTCTTAAAAGTTTACAGGTTAGAAATAAAAACTAAACTTTGCACCACAATTGATATAACTACATGCAATCACTAAATTATAGAATTAGTAGACCTCAGCGTTTATTTTTATAATGGTTTGTACAAATCATAATTATAATATAAATTATTATGGATCGTATGCATGCTCAATAATCCAGGTAGAAAACTGCAACAAAGTTAAGTCAGGTCCTCTGAACAGTTTCTTCTTGTTGAAACATTTCATCTTTTATCCATAAGACTTCTTCAGTCTGAGGAGCTGCAACAAACTCGGTCTTATAATTGGCACCTTCACATAGTGGGTCAACCAGTTTGCACTAAGGTGCTTCCTGTAGTTCGAAAGTTTGAGCAGACAGCGGGGGACTACAGACACCGCCTGAGCACCATCAAACTGGTTGGCCCACTATGAGAAGGTGCCAGCTCCTTGAACTGGTTGGTCCACTATGTGAGTGTGCTGTGGGACTAAGATTGTTGTGGCTCCTCGGACTGATGAAGTCATTTGGATGAAGGACGAAATGTCTCAAAAAAAAAAACATCCAGATGACCTGACTGAACTCTGTTAGCTCAGGAGAGAATTGCAATCTTTAGACTGTAAAAAGTCTGCTGTGCTGGACGAGCCTCCATTTTTTTTTTTAAGTTGTCATTTCTGTTTTTTGCGGCACCACTGGATAGTTTTTTAAAACTTCTCTTTCTTGTCTGCTGAAATTCCTGCTGAGTGGAAGGCTGCTACTGTTTGCCGTCTTTTTAAAGGTGGGAATCAGACTGACATAAACTGTTATAGGCCTACAGGTCCTTCTCAAAAAATTAGCATATTGTGATAAAGGTCATTATTTTCCATAATGTAATGATAAAAATGAAACTTTCATATATTTCAGATTCATTGCACACCAACTGAAATATTTCAGGTCTTTAATTGTTTTAATACTGATGATTATGGCATACAACTCATGAAAACCCAAAATGCCTGTCTCAAAAAATTAGCATATCATGAAAAGTTTCTCTAAACAAACTATTAACCTAACCATCTGAATCAACGACGTAACTCTAAACACCTGCAAAAGATTCCTGAGGCTTTTAAAAACTCCCAGCCTTGTTCATTACTCAAAACCACAATCATGGGTAAGACTGCCGACCTGACTGCTGTCCAGAAGGCCATCATTGACACCCTCAAGCAAGAGGGTAAGACACAGAAAGAAATTGCTGAATGAATAGGCTGTTCCCAGAGTGCTGTATCAAGGCACCTCAGTGGGAAGTCTGTGGGAAGGGAAAAGTGTGGCAGAAAACGCTGCACAACGAGAAGAGGTGACCGGACCCTGAGGAGGATTGTGGAGAAGGGCCGATTCCAGACCTTGGGGGACCTGCGGAAGCGGTAGACTGAGTCTGGAGTAGAAACATCCAGAGCCACCGTGCACAGGCGTGTGCAGGAAATGGGCTACAGGTGCCGCATTCCCCAGGTCAAGCCACTTTGAACCAGAAACAGCGTCAGAAGCATCTCGCCTGGGACTGTTGCTGAGTGGTCCAAAGTTATGTTCTCTGATTACAGTAAATTTTGCATTTCCTTTGGAAATCAAGGTCCCAGAGTCTGGAGGAAGAGAGGAGACACAGAATTCACATTGCTTGAGGTCCAGTGTCAAGTTTCCACAGACACAGGGTGTCATGTCATCTGCTGGTGTTGGTCCACTGTGTTTTATCAAGCGCAGGGTCAATGCAGCTAGCTATCAGGAGATTTTGGAGCACTTCATGCTTCCATCTGCTGAAAAGCTTTATGGAGATGAAGATTTCATTTTTCAGCATGACCTGGCACCTGCTCACAGTGCCAAAACCACTGGTAAATGGTTTACTGACCATGGTATTACTGTGCTCAATTGGCCTGCCAACTCTCCTGACCTGAACCCCATAGAGAACCTGTGGGATATTGTGAAGAGAAAGTTGAGACACGCAAGACCCAACACTCTGGATGAGCTTAAGGCCGCTATCGAAGCATCCTGGGCCTCCATAACACCTCAGCAGTGCCACAGGCTGATTGCCTCCATGCCACGCCGCATTGAAGCAGTCATTCATGCAAAAGGATTCCTGACCAAGTATTGAGTGCATAACTGAACATGATTATTTGAAGGTTGGTGTTTTTTGTATTAAAAACACTTGTCTTTCATTGGTGGGAAGAAATATGCTAATTTTTTGGGACAGGCATTTTGGGTTTTCATGAGCTGTATGCCATAATCATCAGTATTAAAACAATTAAAGACCTGAAATATTTCAGTTGGTGTGCAATGAATCTGAAATATATGAAAGTTTCATTTTTATCATTACATTATGGAAAATAATGACCTTTATCACAATATGCTAATTTTTTGATAAGGACCTGTATATCTGTTCTACCCTGTGTGCCAAAGTTTTTAGAAAAACTGGTGAATAAGCAGCTAACACGTTATTTTGAAGGTTTTTAATATTTTTTCCTGCACCCAGTCTGGCTTTCGTTTAGGGCATGGTTGCATTACAGCCGCTCGGAAAGTTTTCACTGATATAGCATCTGCATTGGACTCCAAACATTATTGTGCAGCAATATTCATTGATTTAGCAAAAGCTTTTGACTCAGTTGATCATTTCATTTTATTGAAACAACTTGGCCGTATTAGAATTTCGGGACAGCCACTAACATGGTTCCATAATTATCTTTCAAATAGGTCGCAGCAAGTGAACGCTGACTCTCATACTTCACAGTTTCTTCTGGTTATGTCAGGTGTACCCCAAGGCTACATTCTTGGTCCAACTCTTTTCTCCATATTTATAAATATCTCGTATTGAGACCTCCATTCATTCATGTGACAATGACATTATTTAATATGCTTTTTGTTCTACTCCGGATCATAAAGTTCCTTGCATGTGGTTTTCTTGAAATCCAGCAGGCCTTTACTGGGGGGAGTGGTGGTGCAGAGGCTAGAGAAGCTGGGTCTGTGATCGGAAGATTGCCGGTTCAAACCCCGGTACCAACAACATCAAAAATGTGGGTGGGGTAGGTGAATCACCCACACCTGCCCCCACCCTCATTCGTCCCACTCTGGGTCCATGAGTAAGGCCTTTAACCCCCATCTGCTCCCTAAAACAGGTCTCTCTTGAAAATGAGTTTTTGTGGCTCAATGAGACTACCTGTATAAATAAAGAGTAAATGAAAAAACTGACTTGAATTTGTCCTTAAATGCCAAGAAAATTAAAATTATGTGGTTGGTCATGGAGGAGGAACCATTCCCACCTCGGTGGACCTCACAACTGTAAACTGTGATATTATAGAGGAGGTAACAGTTTATAAATATTTGGGATTTTGGCTTGATGGTGCTCTGTCCTTTTCTCATCCTGTTAATGTTTTGCAATCTAAGATTTTTTTTTTTTTCATTTACACTTTATTTCTACAGGTAGTCTCATTGAGCCACGAGAACTCATTTTCAAGAGAGACCTGTTTAGGGAGCAGATGGGGGTTAAGGGCCTTGCTCATGGGCCTAGAGTGGGGCAAATTTTCATTCAACCTTTATTTAGAGGGGTTAATCCCACTGAGCCTCGGACTCATTTACAAGAGAGACGTGAACGAGGGTGGAGGGAGGTGTGGGTGTGCCACCTTTTCCACCCACAAAAATTGGTTATCTTTATAGAAATGGATCTTTGTTTACAATGGCTGCAAAACGAAGCATTGTCGAAAAAAACATTCTACTTCTGTTGGATTAATTTAGACATGTTTGTAAGGGTGTCCTTTGTCAGCTGGACACAATTTATCACTCTGCTATTCGCTTTGTTACAAATGCTCCTTATAGAACACGTCATTGTCACATCTACTCTCATTAAATGGCTTCGCTACGTCCTCGTGAAAGTAGGAGAATGTGACGACATGAAGAGTGAACGAGTCTGCTGGCTTCCTTGCTTAGATAGACAAATTTTACTAATTGGCTTTTGTTTGTATGTGAATGTTTCTGTTCAGTGCCCTCAGATGACTTCTGTTATGATTTGGTGCTATATAAATAAACTGAATTAAATGCAGCACGGTGGCACAACTGGTAGAGCTGCTGCCTCTCAGCGAGCAGGTCCTTGGTTCTAATCCCAGTCTGGGGGCCTTTCTGGGTGGAGTTTGCATGTTCTGTCCGTGCATGCGTGTGTTTTCTCCGTGTACTCCAGTTTCCTCCCACAGACCAAAAACATGCATGTTAGGCTGATTGGTAACTCTAAATTGTCTCTAGGTGTGAGTGAGAGACTGAATGGTTGTTTGTCTCGTTTGTCTCTATGTCCCTGTGACTGCTGGACATGGGCACCAGCGACCCCCACGGCTGAGTTATTCACCTCCATATTTAACTCATCTACTGCAACTCTCACCAGTTTGCAAGTTCAACACCCGATCCTCTCAGTATTTATGGTTAACTCTAAAGACCAAGTGTCGCTTTGCCTCTGTGACCTTTGCCTCTGTGACCTTTGACCCTGCTGCTCCATCTGACTGGAATCTGCTTCAAAATAATTTGATCTGATCTCACTTGTCTGTTTCTAGTTTTAAAATAATTTAAAAGCAGTTTTTAAAATGTTTTCATGCTTAGTAATGTAATTTAACTTTGACAATGAACTGTTATTGTCATTTGTGATTTCTTTGTTTGTTATTGATTTCTATATTTTATAGTTTTGCCTAACTTGGCCCTACAAGTGCCTGTTGGTGCTGCCAGGCCAACGCTGTGAATAATAATTTGTTCTTGGTGTTTATACCTGGTTAAATAAAGGTGACATTAAATGAAAACATGAAGAAACCGTCCAGAGGACCTGACTTAACTTTGTTATACATTATGGATTGTAGAATGTATCTGTTAATGGTTTGAACGTTTGTTAACATTTTTGTTGTTGTTTTCATTTCAGAGTGGTAACAAAGTGACCATCTCTACGACTCCTTTTGAAAACACTTCTATTAAAACTGGCCCAGCCCGAAAGAACAGCTACAGGAGTAAGATGGTGAGATGTGGCAAAAAGTCCAAAAAGGAGAAGACCCCAGAAAGGTACAAGCACCATACATATTATCAGGGGTGGAAGTAACGAATTACAAATACTCACATTACTGTAATTAAGTAGATTTTTGGGGGGGATACTTGTAATTTTAAGAGTATTTCTTTCAAGTGTGTAATTTTACTCATACTTAAGTACAATTTGGACCATGTAATCTACTTTGCTACTTTTAAAATCAGAAGGTGCTACAGAGTACGGCCGCAGTTTAAATTAGTATTCAAACCGTTTATCTGCATCTTTGTAGCCAATAAGACTTTCAGATCACAAACACACCAATTACTTATGACGTAAGCAAAGGACAACTCCGTAGAGTAGAGAGTCGTTTAGAGTCTGCTCTTCACAGCCAAGCGAAGCCTGGTGGACTCTGTTAACTTAAAAAAGCAGCTCCTGCTGACGCTGAACAGACGGTTCAGAAAGTGACGGGTGACAGAAATGTCCGAGTTTAAGACACTTGCCTGCCTGTTGTTCCGTGTGTTTGGAAAAGTTTAAACTGTTCTATGCCGGTTCAAAAACATTTTTGTCTTTCTTTTAACAAACAAAAATTCCAGCTTTATCTACATTTGTTTACAAAAGAAATGGCCTTAGTGTCATTTTTCTATACTTTGTTTGTCTGAGAAATGTGCTTTGAGTGTAGCTGTTACACACAGTTAATCAAACTGAATGACTTCTGTTGACAACACAATAAAACATCAATTAGTTAAAAAGTAATTAATACTCCGAGTAGTTTTTGAGAAAAGTACTTTGTACGTTTTCTTGAGTATTTTTATAACACATGTACTTTTACTTGTAATTGAGTACAATTTAAGCAGTGTAACAGTACCTGTACTTGAGTACACATTTTCAGTACTTTTTCCACCTCTGGATATTATGTTAGTGTGACTGTGTTTTTCTATCCGCTTCACTAATTAGGAGTACTTTGATTAGGGTAGACAATCTATTGTCTCCACTATCCTGATCCATGATCAATAATCCAGGTAGAAAAATCTAACAAAGTTGAATCAGGTCCTCTGGACGAGTTAAAAAAAAATTGAAACGTTTTGTCTTTTATCCAAAAGACTTCATCAGTCTGAGGAGCTGCGCTCATTCAGTGCAATCATTTAAATCTGTAAGAAAAAGAAAAATCTATTTGACAGCACTTTGCACTTTTTCAAGGACTTATAAAACAGATTGAATGGGTAGATCATGTACTCATAATGTAAATGTGCCAGAGGACCAACAGACATAATTTTAGCCCTTTTTCATACACTTGTATTACTTCTGCAGAGGAGTCTGAATCATAGCTGTACAAGGTCTCCTGGTGGCTTCCAGAGGACAGACTGGTAACACTGAGGGAGCGTTTTAGAACAATGGCTCAGTTTCTGTTTAAGACAAATTATGCTTAAACTATTGTAATGTTTCACATCCTCATATCATTTTTTATTGTATATTTATATAATTTTTCTTTCCTTTCATTTTTTTTGCAGGCGGCGCTCCCTTTTCCGACGTTTTGCCATGCAGCCCTCCCCCCTGCTTCACACTAGCCGCAGTTTCACCTCCCTCAGTTACTCTCTGTCATCTGGTGAGAGTCTTCCTGGCTCCCCCACCCACAGTCTCTCCCCCCGTTCCCCCACTGCTGCCCTGCGAACAGCACCAGATTTCACTGTGTCAGGTGGAGAAATTACGTTACAGTGGGAAAAACGATCCATCTGTTAATCCAGAACAGTTTCACTGTTGAAACGATTTAACTTTCTGAAATCTAATTAGTCTTGTGCTCTTGATTTCCAGGTGGTAACTCGTCTCAGAGCAGCTCTCCCAGCTCCAGCGCTCCAAACTCCCCCGCAGGTTCTGGCCACGTTCGACCCAGCACTCTGCACGGTCTCGGCCCCAAGCTGCCGGGTCAGAGGCTTCGACAGGGGCGTCGCAAGTCTGCCGGCAGCATTCCACTGTCTCCTTTAGCACGCACACCTTCACCCACTCCCCAGCCAACATCTCCTCAGCGCTCTCCGCCTCCCCTCCTCAGTTCTGTACCAATTTCCAAGACGACCCAACCTTTCCCAGCCAAAATACACTCCCCTCCCACAATTGTGCACCACATTGTCTGCCCCAAAAGTGCCGATCCACCTCGCTCACCACTCCTGAAGCGTGTTCAGTCTGAGGAGAAGCTTTCCTCATCCTACACGGGAGACAAGAAGCATCTTTGTCCCAGAAAACACAGCTTAGAGGTGACCCAAGAAGAGGTGCAGGACGAGGAGCTGACAAGTGGGGAGCGGGATCACAACGTACTGCAGAGTGTGGATGAAACGAGCAATGAGCATCTGGCAACCCACCGCATACGACCTGTTGAGCAGGGTTGTTTAAAGAGGCCCAGCAGTCGTAAGGTGGGACGGCAAGAGTCTGTGGAGGAGCTCGATAAAGACAAACTGAAGTTTAAGATGGTTGTGAGGAGAAAAGATTGGACAGAGAGGAGGGAGTCTCTGCAGAAGCAGGATGCCCTGCATGATTCTGACTCAATGCCTCTGTGTACTGATGAGAGGGAAGAAGGATTTTTGTTTCCAATCCAAAACAAAACCCAGTGCAGCCCAGAGTCTTGCTCTCTGGAAACCAAAGCTGCTAGCACAACCCTTAAAGATGTTTTGTACAAAAAACTGTCCACACGAGTCTCTGAAGCCAGCAGTGAGCCATCTTCTGGCAGCTGTGAGGGTGAAGGAACCATCCGATCAGCATCCTGCTCCGTTTCCACTGAGCGCCAGCTCTCTCGACTCAGTAAAGACTGCATTAATCCAGACAGACTGGACTTCAAAGCTCCCAACATCGAGTTCACTAGAAAGAGGTTGTCATTCGAAGAAAGAGAAGACCGCATGTGCCGGTTGTCATCTGGCCTCCATGAGAACCTCCACTTTGGCTCCAAGAGGTCCAAGAGTCTCCAGCTGGACACAGACGTGTCTCATGACCACAAGGGGAGTCTTCACTTGTGTCCTGAAGGTCTGCCTCCTAAACTTTTCTCGGGGAGAGGAGAGAGTGCTGTGGAAAAACTGCAGCTCATCTCAGCTGAGGCTCCACTAAGAAAAACATCATCCGAGTACAAACTGGAGGGACGCCATGTTTCCTTACTCAAACCTCTGGAGGGTACCCTGGATATTGGTTTGCTTTCAGGACCAAGAGTCTCCAAAACAGAAACATGCTTGTCTAAGATGATTGACAACACAAGCAGCACCGTCTCTGTGAGTCCATCAATCTGGCTCAAAAGCCCAACGGAGAAACAGATCACCATCCCTCATCTTAAATCATCTGACAAGATGAGAAGCTTCACCTGTTCGCTAAGCTCTGAAGCAGTTTCTTCTTTAAACGGTGCAGTTGTTTCTAAAGAGCAGTCAGCGAATGCAGCCATAGATATTCAAATTAATGGAGGCGGTAAGAAGACACAGGACAAACACAGAGAACCATTAAAGGCTTCAGTGGAAACCTTCACTGTCAAACAGGAGAGCCGGCCTGGTGTGAAGGCGGCGTCCTCCTTGGTTCATCGACATAGCTCCCAGTTCTCCGCTGGGAAAACGCCCTCCATACGGGAAGTGAGCAATGAAGATCAGGAGGATGAAGCAGAGCAGCAGGAAGTCTCATCAGACACGTCACAAAACACCAACAGCAACAAAATGTCTTTGATTTCAGCAGAACTGGAGGTAAACCGTGAAACTCCTGGACAGGAGACTCCAGCTGCTGCTACTGGGCGTGTAATAATACCTGCTCCTCTGAGGCAGAGCACAGGTTCTGGTTTGGATCCAGGTCAGCATGACAGCTGTGGGAGAAGAAAAGCTGATGTGCCGAACATGAACATGATGGTCTCTGAGGTGACGGCGCAGAACCCTGCTGCTCCAGAAAATGTGCTGTACAAACAGAAACCACTCATCTGCTGCTCAAACACACATGCACCAGCTGCTGTCGCATCACCAGCGACTGAACCTGAACGAGATTATAAATCCAGTTCAGAAGTCAAAGTCGGCTGTGAAGCATCTGCTGATGAATCGGACGTATCAGCTGTGAAAGCGGCAGGAGCAGACAGCTCAGCCTCCAAAAGCAACACGCACGCCGCAGAGATGCAACAAAATAAAGAGGTTTGTGCCGTAAACACGAGCAGCTCGTTGAACTTTGCTGCAAAAGACAAAGTGAATGTTAATACTGTGTTTGCTTGTGCACTAACTAATACATCGCAGAAAAACAAAGTACCTGTTTTATCAAACAATACAGAAGTTGTAAAAGATTGTAAGTCAAAAGAATATCCAAGTGAAAACTCACTTCACAAATCGTCTGAATCTGAATGTAAGAAGAAAAACACTGTGATGTCAGCAGAAGCTTCAGCTTCAGCTGCTGTAGATGAAAACGTCTCAAGTTCCAGAAGTAAATCTAGACCTGGTCCAGAATGTGCAGCACCCACAACTGTGAAGGAGGTGCAAAGACAGGAAGTGAAATCTCACAGCACAGCTCCTGTCCTGGAGATTAAATGGAGTCCAAACTCCAAAGAGTCTGCAGCTGTAACACCAACGTATCAAGCAGCAACCCATGATGCTAAACACAAAGAAGTCTTGTTGTCCACTGGAGGTGAGCCAGAGCATGCAGAGGTTCAGTCATCACTGCCAACAACTCGTGGTGATGTAAAGAAAAGAGTGATTCAGTCCAAAAGTTCTGTAACAATAAAAGACACAGACTCAAAGTTAAAGGATCTCTTTCCTAAAACACCCACAGCAACATCTGCTTGTGCTTCAAAACAAGGTCTGGATGTGACACCCAAAAAACAAGACCACTTTGATCCAAAACCAAGAGATGCCTCACCTCTTGCTGCTCCTCAGCTTCAGCAGCTCAGGAAGGAACAACAGTCAGATGTTTCTTCTGCACCAGGTCCACTTTTGGTGACACTAAAACCTGCAATGAAAAAAGGCACCCACTCACCCAGTGGAGCCACTTCAGGCCAGTTGTCCAGCTGTGAGTCTCTGGACAAGGCGTCCAAAGACCCGCTCAAACTAGAGAGTCACAAGATCCCAGACACCCAAGTGTCACCCCGCAGCAACCAGCCGTTCTGCGGCAGGAAGGAGCAGGCTGATAAGAAGAAAAAAGATGCAGTTCAAGAAAACACGTCGGCACAGAAACCCATAAAAAAAGATTCACCCAGAGCTTCTCCCTCTGCTCCCAAAGACACGTCCAACAAAGACGGCAGCAGGAGCAAGAAGCAGGAGTCACCACGAAGCTCCTGTAACAAAAAGTGACGAGTGTCACAGGATCCAGACAGAATGTTCAGATTCGTGCAAGCATCACCATGCCTTCTTTATTTGGTTTTATTTGAGGACCGGACAAGCTGTTACCTGTTTGAGTGAGTGTGTGTGTGAGCGTGCACGCTCAAGTCCAGTGAACGTCTGGACGTTTGTTTCTGTCCTTCTGCTCCGTGCAATCACAGGCTGTGAAGTCCTGAAGAATCAGCACCATCAAATCATTTAATTGCACTTTTAATTAGACTTGAAGGAGTCGATGTCAAAGTCTTTTAATGCAGTAGACTGGGGGGGGGGGGGGGGGGTAGTACAATCTGACTTTGTGCTTTGGGTTTTTTGCAGTGTTGCATGAAAGGAGGGCACCACCTCCTTTCTGATTGACATAAAATTTAAAACAGAATCATGTTCCACTTAGTGAAGGGGCCTTAGACAAATGGGATTTAGAACATCTTCCTGTTGTAGCCAGTCATGGTGTTTCTTCACATTCCTTTGACATCTGTTCAAACATTTTTGATTTATATGCAATATACTTTAAATATTACACTGTAAAACAGGGAACGATTGGCTTAAATGAATGTACTATATGTAAATATTTTTCACTGTCGTGTTTATTCGGTCAATGTTAAGATGTTCTGCTTGATAACTTTGTGGTCTCTAAGCTACAGAAACACGTCTCATCAAAGCTTTCTTCATTTAATGTTTCCAAAACTGACTTGGAGGGAAAAAGACACTAGAGGCGAACTGGGATTTTCTTAAAATGTAGCATTAAATAAAAAAATAAAAAAAAACTGTGAGGGCTATCAGCGTTTCCAGGATAGTTTTTTTTTTTATAGTAGATGGCATGTTACAAAGTAAATGCATCGAGAAAAGTTGTGACATAATGTTTAATAAATGAGATAAATAAGCACTTTTGCAGTAGGTTTTTAAAATGTATGAGCATCCTCTGGTTGCTCTGAACTCACATGAAGGTTTTTAGGTGTTTCACTGTCAGGGTGTTGGTGTTGTGTGTTTTATCCTGTTATGTGTTGGAGTGTTGCACAGTCAGCTTAAACTCCACCAGGGCAAAGATTTTATGAGGATCCTGGTTTTTGTTTGACATAAATGTGCTGCTGGTGTGCTTGGTACGAGACCTACTGGCCTGCCATGTATCCTCAGTCACTGTCAGCCTCTTACACAAACATTTGTTTTATAGATGCCTTTAAACTGCAAACTTTACGATGGTCTTAAGACATTAGTGTTAGTTTATCCTCTGTTAGTAGGCTATATTAAAAAGAATACATTTCCCTTCTGTAGATTATTATTCTTGGCCGATTATATCCAAGTGTTACACACTGTAGCTTAGGGTTGTCACTGAATATAATAACTGTATGTAAGATCATTGACAAACATTAACCTTGATGTTTGCCAGTATTCAGTCTGAAGCCTGAGTGAGGACGAAATCCAGAAGTGAACGAGGATATGTTGACATTATTTCTTAGGAACCCGTCTTCATATTTTTATTTTCTGCAGTAAAAGACAAATGAAGCACATTCAGTGTTTGTTTACAAATCATCATGGATGTATATTTTGTATATTGTCGATATGCCAAATCTTTGTTCTGCGTCTCAGATGATGTTGCCAAAATCCATGTGAGACTTTGCCACCAGGATATTTGTTTGTGCAGTGATCAGTGTTTTTCATGTAAAGTTCCTTGACTGTTTGTCTTCAGTATATTTTGTGCAGAACTAGTATTAGTTAAACTTATTGACAATTATTTGTCTTTTAGAATATGTGCAATAAAAGTGTTATGAGTTTTGTATTTTGCCCAAGAAAAATAGATGTATATTAACAGATATTTATACTTCTAAAGTCGTGTAAAACTGAAAATAAAATGAGATTCAAAATAATTCCGTTTGCTTTTTCATTTTACTTTTTTTTTTAATTAAGGTAAATCATAAGTAATTCAGAAAATGTTCCAGCTGTAGTTGGAATGAATTGATTTGCTACTTTGTTCTAAGAAACATTCAAACAGCTGCTGAAAGTCATCGTTTTGAAATGAATGTCAATTTTCTTTCTTTACAAACATTGATTACGTACTGTAACCCCAGATTCTATGAGTATAGGTGCAGCCCTTTAAGACTGTCGCTAGTGGGTTTATCCCTAGGCACTCAGCGCTGCACTGAAAACTTTAGTCCACGCTCACTGACTGCGTGGGCCTCATCCCCGGTCCGTATAAATTGCAATGAGACCGGGTAATCTGCTCCCAACATAGCTTTTTTTCTTCAGTCATTTAGGAACCAGTGAGGCCCAGAGCTTAAAGGGCTGCACCTATACTCCTAGAATCTGGGGTTACAGTACGTAACCAACGTTCTATTTCATATAGGCTTCGCCCTTTAAGACTCTCGCTGGTGGGTTAAAGGCGAAGCAGGATGTAGTCTATGCCTCACTGGGTCCATTCAGACACTACATGAAGCACCTGCTTGCACAAAAAAACATTTCATCACTCAGCCTCCTGTGTGCATAATTACGCGCTGTGTAATTGCGTGCTCCATGCGCAGGAGCGCACTGGAGAAGATTTCTGGTGAGGAAAAAAGGCTGAGATGGCAGACCTGCTGCTGTGAATAGGAACAACGGAGGATACGAATTGTAACAGTGTAACAATAAACAGAGCAGACCAACAACTCCTTAGTATGAACCGATAAGTACTGATAAAATCAGCAGTCGTGAACTTGTGACTGATAATAAATATCTCACACTGCGACTGCATGCAGGCAGGTGTGAGCTCAAAAGTGAGGCTCCATGAAACAAATAATCATTCTGTCAGAACCCTGAGAACAGAATGGATCATGGAGAAAGTAGAAACATCACGTAGCTAAAAATTAATAATTGAACATGGCGATGACCAGGCAGCCGCCATACAAATATTCTCCACTCATCCCTCCGTGCAGAGCCATGGAGGATGAAAACCTTCTGGTGGAGGATCCAGTCCAGATAAACTGTAAACTTTAGAAATAGCCTCACACAACCAGTGTGAGAGACACTGGGTGGATAGAGGACGTCTTTAAGAGCTGTCCCAGTAATGTACGAACATGCGCTGAAAGCGGCGCAGTGCGGCCGTGTGCGCCACGTAACATGAAAAATGGGCGCATGGGACAGAAGGAGGTGAGATGTTGCTTCCTCCTCAGAATTATGAGGAAGAGGATAAAACCCATCCAAGGTTATCACTCTCGATCTGAATGAGCTTGTGATGCTTTTCAGAGCAGGGTTAAAACGCAGTACAGCTGAACTGCCGTCAGCTTGAATTCTGAGACATGAGGGAGTAACAGAGAGAACAGACAATCACTCATTCTCTTTGCCGACGTCAGAACTAACAGCAGGGCTGTTTTAGTGACAGACTTTTAAGTTAAACCTGATCTAAAGGCTCAGAAGGAGCTTTGATCAGAGCATGCAGGACCATCATTAGGTCTCACTGTGGAGCTAGTGGACGTGACACCGGTCTGTGTCTCCGTACACCTTTCAGGAAACGTTTCATCAACGGGTGATTAAGAACTATTCTGTCACCGAAGCCCTCGTGACAGGAAGGAATAGCTGCAGCATAAGTTTTAATTGTGCTGAACGTTAGAGTTCTGAGGCAGCACGGTGGCGCAACTGGTAGAGCTGCTGCCTCTCAGCGAGCAGGTCCCTGGTTCAAACCCTGGTCCAGGGGCCTTCTGGGTGGAGTTTGCATGTTCTCTTCGTGCATGCGTGGGTTTTCTCCGGGTACTCCGGTTTCCTCCCACAGACCAAAAACATGCATGTTAGGCTGATTGGTAACTCTAAATTATCCCTAGGTGTGAATGGTTGTTTGTCTCGTTTGTCTCTATGTGGCCCTGTGATGGACTTGCGACCTGTCCAGGGTGTACCCCGCCCCTCGCACAGTGATTGCTGGACATGGGCACCAGCGACCCCGTGACCCAAAAATGGAATAAACGGGTAAAGAAAATGGATGGATGGATGGATGGGTTACAGTTCTGTCCATCATCTGCTGCAGAAAGGACAGCATGCCACCTAGTGGCCATGAGATGGCCTTCACGCCTTTCTCTGCGCACCAGCGCTGAAAAAACTGTCCACTTGATGTGTACAGCGTTGTGGTGGAAGCAGCTCGTGCGCCCTGAACGTACGCACCGCATCCTGTGGGAGGCCCATCTTTTCTAAACGGATCTGTTCAGCGGACAGACCCAAAGATGCTGACCTATTTCTGGGTAACTCCTGATCACTCTTCCTGCCTGAAGGAGAGCGCCCCCCAGCAGTTTCCACAGCCGACCCGATATCAGTCGCTGCAGATTCAGGAACCACGGAGCGCATATGCATTCAGGAGCTACGAGGATGACTGACGGTACTTCCTCCCGGACCCAGTCCAGGGTCCGTGATATCGGCAGGACTGGAGGAAATGCATAAAGGAGCATTTTTTGGCCACGGGCTGTGAGCGAAGGCGTCTACTCCTAATGGTGGGTCGTCTCGTGGGCTCAGTGAGAACCATAATTGACACTGGGCGTTCTCCCGTGTGGCGGACACATCCACTATTGCACGGTCAAACCTGCTCCAAATCCAAGAAATCAGCTCGGGATGGAGGCTCCAGTCTCTGTGGCGGGGACCGCCCCTCAACATGATATCCGCTCGCCTGTTCAGGAACGCTGGAAAAATCCACTGTGTGCCCAACACAACAGCAGTTTTGCGATGCGTAACAGTTGGGCTGAGCGCACGTCTCCCTGACGGTTTATGTAAACTGCCGTCACCTTGTTGTCTGTGTGGATCAGAAAATGCTGATCCCGCAGCAGGGGCAAAATGCTGAGTCACGTTTCAGACCGTGAAACATTCTAGCACATTATGTAAAGGGACATGTGGTCCAGCCACTGTGCTCCCACTGCTTGGGACAGAAACATTCCTCCCAGCTTGACAGGAACGCGTCTGTGAAAAACTGAGACGTGTGATGTAAGCCTGCTGATGGGAACGCCCTCTGACAGAATGAGAGGGTTTCCCCA